GGTGGCTCACAACCATCTGTAATGAGGTCTGGCGCCCTCTTCTGGCCTGCAGGCATACACACAGACATAATATTGTATATATAATAAATAAATAAATAAATTTTTTTTTAAAAAGAAACTTTGTGATGGCACCTACTACTGGTTCTTCCACTCTAGCAGCCCATCAATGGCAAGGAATTTACAACCATATATTAACTAATACACAGGGTTTTCCATGACTTTGATGATGGAAGAAAAACTAAGCAAGAGGTCTCTATTTACCTAGGTCTCTAGTTCCTACCTGTATCAACGTGGAGCACCTTGTGCCTTCATAATAAAAATAAAGACCTCAATGACATTAGTTATAATTTTTTAATGAATTAATTTATTTTGTAGTTTCCCCTCCCTGCTCTCGTCACAGCCTCCTCATCAATAGTCATAAAAACCTTAATACTGGGTGCTCAACTAATTAACCTTAACTGCCTTATTGACCAGTTATGCCTTGGATCACTGCCTCCCTTAGGAGGCATTTCATGGTACCCTATCTATCCCACATTGACTTTCTTGTCATTGGTATTTCTGTACCTAAATCCCTATCATCGTTCTAATCCAGACAACTAGAGGGTCAGCCATAGCATGATCAATATATAGCTTACTGCTTCTTAGATCAGTGACATGGTTCCCAAAAACATCAGCACTGTTGTTGTTGCCTCAAAGCCAAGTGTACTATCCAGTTTGCTGTAGTGACTCACCAGCTTCAAGGTCAGCAGCTTCTACTGAGGTAGTTAGTGGACCTAGCCAAAATGTTGTGAGCTGTGGGTAAGCTACCTCACACAGCCATTGCTGAAGCCTGGGCTTACTTGAATCATACCTCATCTGATGTATGCCAATGTGCATATATATATAATAAACAAATTTAACTTCTGATACAAATAAAAATTCAAATCAGACTTAAGAATTCCAAGTACAAGATGTAAGGTAGTTCATTATTCCTTCCACACTTACTTTCAACACTGCACACACTACGCCTTCCTACACATTATAGCAGTTCATTTTTTTTTAATTTTTCGAGACAGGTTTCTCCGTAGTTTTTGGTTCCTGTCCTGGAACTAGCTCTTGTAGACCAGGCTGGCCTCGAACTCACAGAGATCCACCTGCCTCTGCCTCCCAAGTGCTGGGATTAAAGGCGTGCGCCACCACCGCCTGGCTAGAGCAGTTCATTTTTATTTTGCATTAAAAAAAAAAACACATTTTTCCTTGGGTGAGAGATACTCGAAGTTAAGAGCAATTGTTGCTTTTGCATAAGACCCAGGGGTTCAATTCCCAAGACCCACGTGGTGGTTCAAAGTTACCTGTAACAAGTTCCAGGGGATCTGATGCCCTCTCTGACCTCTGTGAGTACCAGGCACGCAAGTGGTACACATACATATATGCAGGCAAAACACACACACACACATAAATTCTTACATTGACTACATTTAGTAACTTACCAAGTCCATAAAGCATCAATTGGAACATTCCAGAATGCAAATCTACAAAAATGTGTAGGCACTCCGAAGTACCACAGGGCTCCAATATGGGAACAATAAGAGCTGGAAGCGCAGTCTCTATGGAGGCTGAACAGTTGAGAATTAAAAATCATTTTTCAATCTGAATATTCTCATAAAATTATTTTGCAATGAGTCTGAATATAGAAGAAAAGACCTAAATCTAAGAAGTGAAACTGAATCACAGTATCAATTAGTCACTGAAAAGAAAGTCATTTTCTAGTTGATTTGTGGAAGACATATTTAAAAAAAAAAAAACAGAAAAAGACAGAAAAATTAATTCAAAATACCATAAAAACAATTACTCCAATAAAAGACCAATCCCATCAGTTGACTGATTTACTTCCATTCAATATATTTGCTTTTAGAGATTTTAATTAATTAAAAAGTGTCAAGAAAAGGTTTAATATATAAATTTTATCTATAGCTCAATAAGATTGCCAATGTAATTTTTTTTGTTAAAAATTGGGGATTTTTGTTACTGTTCTGATAGCAAAGAACTCGTGTTTTTTAAGAACCACTTAACAGGTATTCAGCATTACATGGAATTCTTGTTTTCATTTGTATAACTACTTTTCAAATCCAAGATGAGATGAGAATGTAGACAGTCAAACTTCTAAAGCTGACAATACACTTAGTCTAGTTTCGTGGTATTTCCTATTAACTTGCCCTTTATTCCCTCAATCAAGGATAATGAAACCCAGTAACTCAAAGCACAGTAAGCACCACTCAGATTGGGGATCGCAGAAGTCCTGCCGTAATGACACACCTCAAAAGGGCAGCCTTTCAGGAAGCATCACTCCTCTGTGTTATTTTGTCAAATAAGGACATTAGCTTCTCCACACCACCAGTCATTAGGAACCAAACACAAATGCACATAAAATAAAGATAAGTAATTTTTAAAAAGAAAAAGAAAAAAAGGGGGTAGCTTCTTATGATCTTGTAATTAAGATTACTGAACACTGACAATTAACAGACACATACACCTAGAAAAAACATTTAACCAATACATTCAAGGTTCTGGACCATCGGCCTTTACTTCCTAAGGCCCACATTTCCATTTTTGCTTAGTTTCCCTACTCCTATACTTAATGTTAGGACTCCCTGGTGGGAAGAAAGAGGGTGTGGGCAAGACCCAACACAGAAGCCTCATCAGGTTAGGCCAGGAAGCCCTGATAAAGTGGTTGGCAGTTCTACCCACTCAGCAGAGGACTACATTCTCAGCTGGGCATTTGCTTAGAGAATGATTCCACCTGTGTGATGAGTCTGCAGCAGACATGAGGTCTTTTCTCACTCATGTCTTGAAGGACTGTGATTGGTTGCCATTTTGAGATGAGGCACACACTCTTCTGCATGGAACAATCACAAGTCAAAGGGCCTGGGGGACAATATGCCACAGCCTCTGGGTAGGAGACTGCAGTGTAGGGCAGTTGTGATATCAGGAGAGCCAAAGTTCATGCACCAGGAGGCTTGAGTGTTGAAAGGTCTGGTGGTCGATGGTAATAACAGACCCCAATTATCTGAGGATAGAGTCTCACAGGCCCTGAGCCCAAGGTGAGCAGGCAGCCTAACCTCTGTAGTCACCTGTCTGCTGCAAGGTTCTCTGCTGGTGGGACTGAAAACTCTGAAGCTCAGATCCAGAGCAGAGGTCTCTCGACTTGTGCAGCCTCCTCCCTCCCAAAGGGTGTTCGATGCAGTATTCAAAGCACTGCAACACCGTAGTCTTACAGCATAGATGTCACTGCTCTGCATTCAAGAGACAGCCCTTGACTTGAACATGGTCAATCCAGGTGTACAAACTGGGGATTCTCTGGAGTATGGGACAAGCTGCATGGCCCACAGACTGAAAATCTAAGACTGGCCAGCAGAGGTTTCTTGTATACAAAGAAGGGAGGTTCCTAAAATGAAGACAGTTCTGTTCACACATCTGACTCATCCAGCCTCAGCAACCTCCTAAACGATAGGAAAAAGAAGAGCCTCCAAGGGCTGGAGAGATGGCTCAGAGGTTAAGGGCACTGACTGCTCTTCCTGAGGTCCTGAGTTCAATTCCCAGCAACCACATGGTGGCTCACAACCATCTATAATGAGATCTGGTGCCCTCTCTGGCGAGTAGGCATATATGAAGACAGAACACTGTATACATAATAAATAAAAATATTAAAAAAAAAGAAGAGACTCCAACTTCAATTGACCATCCCTTCCACCTGGAAGAGTCCAATATTAGAGTAGCCAGGAAAAAAGGTGTTAGTACTTTGTCATTTAGTTCCCCCCTCCTTTTCTCAAACTGTTTCCTTTTATTATAATTTCAGTATTATTTTTATTTTATGTAAGGGAGGGGCTCGAGATAGGCTCTTGCTATGGAACCCAAATGATCTTGAGCTCACTATGTAGTCTGGCTGGTCTTGAACTTCAGATCCTCCAGCCTCAGCTTTATGAGTGCTAGCATTTTAAGTGTGAACTGCCATACTGAGTCATTAAAAAAAAAAAAAACAAAGAATAGGTAAATATTTGTTGAATTTTTATTGCTCTTATTATTAAAGAAAAATAAGCACAAAATATATATACACTACAGATTTCAAAAGCTATATAATAGTGAAAAGTTCCCTCCCATTAAAAGTCTTGTTTCCTTTTTATTCTTCTTACATTTATGTAATTTTGTTTATGCGTTTTTCTTTAAATGTGCATTATTTTCCCTTTTTCTTTTTTGTCTTCCTAACATTTACCTTTCTTCTTTTTAATTTTGGTTTGATTTTCTTTTGACCTTTATTTTATCCATTTACTATTTTTACTTTTATCTTAAATAAAATTTAAGGTGATAGTTTACCATTCTGTTATTTTCTGTTCTATGGTCACTGGTGTTATACTAGTTGGCATTAATCTATTTTTGTTTTCCCATATCAGGCTTGATTTAATATTATAGCACCTTGTTTTGTCATCTCTGAATGATAGTTAAGATTGACTGCTCAAGAGAAGGTTTCTCAGTAAGAAATTCCCCCAATACAACTGTAAAAGATAACCCATACAGACGGGGTGCATAAAGAATGATGAAAAAGCAAGGCAACATAGTACATACAAAATATCCTAACTCTTTAATTAGCAATCCAAAGATACTGAGGTAGCTCCAATACTGAACAAATAATTCCAAAGTCTGTCTGTAAAAATTATTTTTAAAATCTAGTAAGCAGATAAATTAAGGAAGATGTGAAATTAGCAACACTGATGAGATGCTCAACAAAGAGAGTAGGAGAAAAAAATAAAACTGCTAGTAGAAATAAAAAACTAAATAAATCAAATGAAAACCACAGTGGAAAGTTTCATCAGTACACCAAAATCAAAGAGCTGGCTATGACTCAGTAGTTAAAAGCACTTGTTCCTCTTGCAGAGGAACCAACCAGATCCCGTTCCTAACACCCACATGATGGCTCACAACTATTCCTTATCCCCAGTTCTAAGGGATCCGAGGCCTTCATCTGACCTCTGCAAGCACCAGGAGGCACTCACAATAAACATGAAAGCAAAATATTCATACACATAAATTTGAAAAAAAAATTAAATAATTAGAAAAAAATCAGACAGAAATCACAATACAAGAATGAAGAAATTCTATCAGACATTAAAGAATTAAATAAATAGACCAGCATAATTAAAAAGCTAAATTAAGAATCCATGGATTGGGGCTAGAGAGATGGCTCAGTGGTTAAGAGCATTGCCTGCTCTTCCAAAGGTCCCGAGTTCAATTCCCAGCAACCACATGGTGGCTCACAACCATCTGTAATGAGGTCTGGTGCCCTCTTCTGGCCTGCAGGCATACACACAGACATAATATTGTATACATAATAAATAAATAAAATAAATATTTAAAAAAATAAAAAAAAAGAATCCATGGATTAAAAAATACAAAAAGAATCCATAGAATGGAACAGAGAGATCACTAAGTGGTTAAAAGCACTTGCTGCTATTACAGAGGATGGATGCAGCTTCAATTCCCCACACCCACATCGTAGATTATAACAACCAGTTCCAGGGTTATCAGACACCTTCTTCTGACCTCTCTAGGCACTAGGCACACATACACATACATTCATATACATACATATACAAAACATTCACTGGTAATAAACAAATTTAACTTAAAAACTTTTTAAAAAATCCATAGTATGAGTCGGGGATAGGGCTTTGTGGTAGAGCACTTGCCAAGCATATCTGAGGTTCTAGGGTCAATCCCTGGTAGCAAGTCAAAAAAGGAAGGCAGGAAAAAAGAAAAGACAAAGGAATAAAGGAAACAAAACAAAATGAAAATAATGAATCCACAGGATAGTGTGAGGCATAATAGTACACACTTTGATTCTAGATTTTGAAAAGTGAACTTAGGAGGATTAGAAGTTCAAGGACTATGTTAGTCCTTATCTAAAATGTTAATTAAAATAAAAAAATCCACTGCATAAAAGCAGCTGAAAAACACTAAAGACACAAAAAGCCTGGTCAACACAATTCTATGAGGAATCTTGTTCTTCTGGAAAGAAAAGAATACCAAAACACAAAAGGCATTTCAAGACTAAACATATGTGACCTCTCTACACATCTAATAGTAAAATGCCCAGTTCTGAAAATAGAAACTATTAAAAATTCAAGAGGTTCTATAGGCAGAGACATTTTCACATAGCCACCGGTGAGTAGCCTATGTCCTATAATACAAAATTACTCAGAAAAGTAAAGGAAACAATGCATCAAGATAAGATGATTTTAAGCTGGGCGAGTTGGAGCACACCTTTAATCCTAGTACACTAGAGGCAGAGGCAGGTGGATGTCTATGAGTTCAAGGCCAGTTCCGGGACAGCTAGAACTGTTACACAAAGAAACCCTGTCTTGGAAAAATAAAAATACAATGATTTTATAATGATCTCTAAACTAAGCATTGGTATATCCAATCTCTTTCTTTTTTTCTCTCTTTTTTTTTTTTTTCTCAATGGGGCTTCTCTGTATAGCCCTGAAACTCACTATAAAGACCAGGCTAGCCTCATAACTCAGAGATCCTCCTACCTGTGCTGAGATTAAAGACAAATGCCACC